GCTGACAATTGTCAGTAGAAGTCAGATGGCAGATAGGAAGGAATATATTGCCAGGTTCCTTAAAGGCTAAGTAGAATTGTAGGTATTGCCCTTTATATAGTATAGGAGCTTGATCAGGAGAATAACACCTCAGCACACACGAGGGGAAAGGAGATTCAGAGGGGGTCCAGGCTCGTACCACACAGAGAGGCCATGTAGGACAAGGTTATCCTAAGATGATACCTGGACAGGGAGAAGATGAGGCAATCTAGAGATACATTTGGAAGAGCATCAAGATCACAGTGATTGTATCAGGAGAAAAGAGAGCTGATTTGTGAGGCTTTTTATAGATCATGTAGAAGAGTTTTCTTTGCACATTCTTGAGATTGGCTGGAAGTTATGAATCCAAACAAGAATCTCCTGCAGTAGGTTTCAGCTAGGCCAGATTTTTGGGCTCCTTTCTCTTAGAGGCAAATGCCCTGTGTTCCTGCTGTGTTATTATAGTAGTTGGTAACAAATTTTCATCTCCAGAACCTGTGGAAATTGGCCATGTGATGTTAGAGTCTAAGAATTTAGTTCATTCTTGACTGATGGCTGTTGTAGGTCACGAGCTGCAAAATATTTAATCAGTGAGGTCACTTGAGGGAAATGAGACTTGATCAATAGGAGTGTCTTCTGTTTTCCTGAACGGTCAAGTCCAAACTGCTTTTTTTTCTGCCTTCATTTGGCAAAACCACAAACTATTAAAAATGGAAAGAATGACTTTCCTAAAGGCCCACAGAGGCTTATTTTTAATCAACTGTGTGTTCAGTTCACCTTTGTGGCATTCCATTTGACTGGACTCAGAAAAACAAATGTGTTGTATGTAACCATAACCCCTCTGTACATCACCTAGACAATAAAATTAAAACAAAGCCAAAAAAATGATGCAACAACAACAAAAAATGTGCGATGGCCTAACAATTTGAAACCCTTTTAAAACAGCACCTACTTCTGATGGCCCTGAAGAGGCCAGGATGTGAGGCCCCTTGGAGAAAAGCCACTTGCAGTTGCTGGTACCTTCCAAATGTAAAAGTAGACAATCTGTTTATGTCTGTTTCTCTCTCTTACTGGGATATGAACTGAGGGCTTCAAGCTTAGTAGGAAAGCCCTCAATTGCTGGACCTGTGTCTCTAGTCTTCTATTATTTTTCAGATTGGGGCTTACCTTTTTGCCTTAGCTTTAGGCCATAATCCTTTCCTACCTATGCCTCTGCAACTGGGATCATGAGTATGGACCACTAGAGACTGACTGGGTTTTTTGTTTTTGTTTTGGTAAGTCAGAATCTAGACAACAACCAGGCTGTCCTTAGAACATCTAGGCTGTCTCAACCTTCTGAGAGAACCATGACTTCAAGCTCCCAGTTTTCTTTTTTTTTGGGGGGGGTCCGGTCGTGGAGCCTGAACTCTGGGCCTGGGCGCTATCCCTCAGCTCTTCAGCTCAAGGTTAGCCCTCTACCACTTGAGCCGCTTCCGGCTTTTTTTTTTGCTTATGTGGTGCTGAGGAATCGAACCCAGGGCCTCATGCATGCAAGGCAAGCGCTCTACCACTGAGCCACCTTCCCAGCCCAAGCTCCCAGTTTTCATTTGTAAGGTTCCTAGCAGAAACTTGAATTCTTCAGAAAGAGTTGACAGGTGGGGGATAGGGACAAGGCTGAATGATAGAGCAAGTCTGTGGATTTGAGCCTCAGCTCTGAAAACAAGTTGAGAGATGAGAAAGGAAATTAAGATAGGAAGACAAGGAGACTGTGCCTTTGTCATTTATTTAGCAACTATTTATTGAGAGCAGCTCTCTGGGTGCTAGACTTAGATATGGCACATCCCACTGTCTAACCCAAACAAAGGAGTGAGAAGTGGCTTCTCAGAATACCTGACTAGCAAAGGGCTGGGTGCCCTGAGGGACATGGGACAGCTTTGAGTTAGAACAGGGGTGTGGGAAGAGTACATACTTTGAGAGCGAGACCCATGACAGATTGCACTTGAGCCTCCAATGATGAACTTGTGGACCTCTCTAAGTCAGTAGAGACCTAAGTAAGGTGGCAGGTATGAGAGGTAACCAGGATGTTCTTTTGGCGAAAGAAGAGATGGGTTTAAACATTCTGAAAGGAAATAGAAACTTTCACTTCCTGCTTGTGAGTGGAGAATGGGATGTTCTACCGTGACAGTTGGCATTAGGATGTGTTGGGGTCATGGGCCTTGTTGCTAGCATGTAAAAGCCAGCCCAGGAGAGGGACAGGTACTCTCAGAAACTCCAGACACTCCAGACACCCTGGCAGGACCAGGGTTTTTGCTGTTTGTTTGTTTTTTTGCCCAAGATAGAGAAGTTGGGCCAGGGTGATAGCATGTTGGGGGGGAGGGGGACGGTAAGCCCAGCAGAAAGGGGTTTTGTGTACAGCAGTTTTTGCTGCCAAAGCAAGTGGTGTTGTGGCAGCTGCAGGCGTCCATTCCTAACACAGGCATGGGTTCCAAATCCTCTGGGCTGACACCTGTTCGCTGGAGGCTCCCCTGAGCTGACCTCTCCTTAGGCTGTCCCTCTCATATGTGCATCTGGCTTGCTGAGTCATGTGAACAACCCAGAGCTGAGCCCCCACCTTGCCTCCGTATGACCAAAAGTGCCTGCTCTCAATTTGGGAGGGGACTGCTGGGTTTGTAAGGGGTGGAGTTTGTTCACAAGGGAAAAGCGCTAGGGCTAGCCCAGCCAAAAGGAATGGGGTGTTTCTCTGGAAAGTGGCTGTTCAGGCAAAGAACTAAGCAGCATGTGGTGGGAGGGAGGCTCTGGACACAAAGAAGTCCTGGAAAGGGTCAACTTTCCCACTGGGATGGAGGGAAATGAAATGTGATCTGCTTAATGCTACTGCAGCTGCTTCCTAACTTTGCCTCTTTCTTCCTTTGACTTTTGGAGGAAGTGGGGTGGAGAAGGGATTGGGGGGTGGGGGTCCCACATAGCCAGCTGTTTCCGACTGCCCTATATTCTACCTCCTAGTTCCACAGCCTCAAGGTAGTGAGGCGTGGGATGTACAGCTTGCAGTGGCTAGCGTAACTCCCTTTGTCTCTCTCCTCCTCCTCTCCCCCCTTTGCTCTCTTCCTGGCCCCCATGGCTGGCTTCAGCTCAGCCTTGGGGAGCCCCTGAGGAAGTGGAGTCCCTCCTGGTCCACCCCGGTGACCTGCTGCAGCTTCGCTGTCGGCTGCGGGACGATGTGCAGAGCATCAACTGGCTGCGGGATGGGGTGCAGCTGGTGGAGAGCAACCGTACTCGCATCACAGGGGAGGAGGTGGAGGTGCGGGATTCTGTGCCCGCTGACTCCGGCCTCTACGCTTGTGTGACCAGCAGCCCCTCTGGCAGTGACACCACCTACTTCTCCGTCAATGTCTCAGGTTGGTAGCAACACCCTCTCTTACCCATCCCTCTGGATTCGCTCCTCTGCCTCTCTGTGCTAGCCTTGGGGAAGTGAACCTCCTTCCCTTCCATTGATCTGCCCCTACTCTGCTTCAGACACTGCTGGCCACTAACACTGCTCCCTGCCCGCTGCGTGGCTTAGCTCTCAGGAGTGACTAAGTAGGATGGGCCCCAGATTAGAGATCTGGAACTTCAGAGTAATACCTCAGAGGTAATTGCTGATACCCTTGGTGTGGTTAAGACCTTATGATTTCCCCACCCAGATCTGTGGATGCTGAGTGTGGATGCTAGTGTTCATCCTGTCATGTCCTTGCCATTGAATTTGGTACTCCATTTAGTGATTAAAACACCAGAGCACGTGGTGAGGTCTACCCTGTGATGGGGAAGGACCGAGGTGCATATTGCCATCCCACGGGCTGGGTTGAAACAGCTGATGGCTGGCTCCCAAAGCTGTTTGAGGGCAGCCAAAACATCCTGGAGCTCTGTGACTTTGTGAATATGCCTCTTTCTGAATGTGACTCCATCCCACAAAACTAGCATTCAAGGAAGTAGAACTGAAATCTTTATCATACCTTTTGTGTACCCAAGATGTGGACTTAGGACCTCCTTCTAGGCATCCTTAGAACCAGCCCTGATGGAAGGATTGCCTTCTCCATTCATTGATCCCCACAATGCCTGGAATGATAGGGAAAAGCTCTGGTGTGTACCTTATTGCTGACCACTGTATGGAGCTCATTCTTATGCAGAATACATAGTTAGGAAACAACATTAGCAGCTTTGGGCTCCCCATGTGCTCTGGTTAAGAAGGGCAATTCCCAAGACTTGGCAGATTCATGCAAAGAAGATATCTATTACAGGCTTTGAAAATAGCTTCTAGCCAGAGTGACTATAGACTATCCTGGGTTTTCTTGTGGCTGGTGTCCAAATTAAGAGTATACAAGTTCCCTGGCTGCTATCCTAAGACCCGGGCCACTCAGGTGGTTACTGTGAGCTGAAAGGGAGCTTTGGGGTTCATAAACTTAAGAGAAACGATGGGCCCTACTGGAGCTATCCAGTGCAAAGGCTTCTGGGAAAAGTTGGCAGTGCCCCAGGTTGTGGAAAAAGAGGATGGACACTGGAATATGCAGCTCGGTTTCTGTCCCACAGGAAGAGCGTCACTAAGGGAAAAGTGGGACTGTGAGTCCTTATGGATACGGGTGTCTGTGTTCATCTCTGATGCATTGGAATGTGTAGGTGTTTCAAGGAAGCTCAGTGCCCTCTTCTTCCTACAGATGCCCTCCCCTCCTCGGAGGATGATGATGACGATGATGACTCCTCCTCTGAGGAGAAAGAGACAGATAACACCAAACCAAACCGTATGCGTGAGACACAGTTTCCTATCTTACTGCCTTTGGGGCCTGGAGTTTTGGGTCTAAGAGGGAGGAGGCCTGGCTGAAGGGGGAGGAAGGAAGCAGAACGGCATAGATGTCCCTCTGACTGTCCTAAAAAGTGCTAGGCATTGGTCACAGGCATGGAGCAGGTGGGCAGGCACCAACAGATTCTGCCTGACCCTTGCTCATAAACTTGACTGTTTCTCTACCCCATCTTACCTCTCTTGGCTTTCCATGGACAGCCGTAGCTCCATATTGGACATCCCCAGAAAAGATGGAAAAGAAATTGCATGCAGTGCCAGCTGCCAAGACAGTGAAGTTCAAATGCCCTTCCAGTGGGACACCAAACCCTACACTGCGGTGGCTGAAGAATGGCAAAGAATTCAAACCTGACCACAGGATTGGAGGCTACAAGGTACATCTGTGTGTAAACATGTGTTTGTGTGTAAATGTATATGTAAAAGCTATAAATAGACGTATTTCTCAAGTGGTAGAGCACCTGCCTACCAAGCACAAAGCCCTGAGTTCAAACTCCAATACCACCAAAAAGAGGAAGAGATTGAGATTAAAAAGCCTTACTCTTTTCATTGTGGGTTTGGGTTTTTTTTTGTTTTTTGTTTTTGCCAGGAGGGTGCTGGGCATTGAATCCTGGACCTTGTGCATGCTAATAAACATATACATTGAGCTATGTTCCCAAGTTCCTTTATTTTAAATGCTTTCTAACTGTAATGGTAATGTGTTTCCATCTTTTTTCTGTGTATGGTTTTTACAGTTAATCATATTGTATATATAATATAACTTCTTACCTTGTTATCTGTTAACATGCTAATATTAGTCTTTGTTATGTCAAGCATGACTGAAAATTAGTTTCATGGCTGCCTGATTCCATTGTTTTTTTTAAACCCATAATTTAATGAACTATTCTGCACGGTTAGGTATTTTCTAGTATTTTACAAATTACATAATATTGCAGCAAATGTCTTAATCAGCATTTTAAATGTGCTTTCTTAGGACAGATTTGTGGAAATGAGTTAATCAGGCCAAAGAGTATAAGCATGTTAGGTTCTACATATTACCCAATTCCTTTCTCCTTTGCTCCATGCTCCCTTTCTTCTCTTTCCTTTCCTGTTTTCCTTCCTCCTTTTACCTCTGCTTCCTCTCTTCTTCCCTTTGTTCTCACTTTCCAGTTTGTTTTCTTTTTCTGTTATTTTTCTTTCTGGCACTAGGGATTGAACCCAGAGCATTGCTCGTATCTCTGTCACTGAGCTATGTCCAAAGCTCCCAATTACTGTCTTAAAAGGGGAAATTAATCACTTTCCCAGAATATGAGAATGACAAGTTCCCTAGACCTTTGCCAACAAATTTAGTGATCAAAGTGTTTCATTGTTCTCTTGTATTTTATTTTGTTGATTAATGTTAGAGTTTTCATGTGTTAAGAATCTTTTCTTTCCTTTTTTTTTAAAAAAATTGTCTGTTACTTCCTTTGTTGATAATTCATAGGAAGAACATCTTGATCTTCGGGTTTGGTCATCCTCTTAGAACTGTTTATATCTTGGCTCACCTAGCTTCTCTTTTATGATTATTCTTGTGTGAGAAAAACAAGAGAGCTCAGGAATAAACAGGGGGAAAGCTTTCTGCAAGTTCCTGTGGTTCAGACAGGATGGGATGGCATTCCTGTCCATAAAGATTGCCAGTCAAATGAGAGGACAGTGATCGATGCGTTAGTGGAGGTGCAGAGGGAAGGGTGAGAAGAAATCTGACCAGAGATTCAGCTGGAGAGGAGGGGTCAGGGTTTGAAAGGTGTCCAAGGCTGTCAGAACTGGTAAACCATTCCAGTCACAAGCACAGAGATAGAAAGTTCCTTGTGAGTTTGGGAGAGTTTGTAGAACGTACATTTGTCTAGATCATGGCTGGCCAGTTAGCAGAGTGTATTCTTTTTTAAGTATAAATGAACCGGAGTAGGGACCCTCTATGCCTTGTTCTTGCCCATACTAAAGCACAAGGCCATCTGCTACTGCCTCTGATTTATAGGGATCATGACACAGATTCCCAAGTTTCCTTCATTCTCCTCCTTAGACCCTCAATGGTGCCTACTGACATGTATTCCCACAGGTCCGTTACGCCACCTGGAGCATCATAATGGACTCAGTGGTGCCATCTGATAAGGGCAACTATACCTGCATCGTGGAGAATGAGTATGGCAGTATAAACCACACATACCAGCTGGATGTTGTAGGTAAGAAGGCCAAAGATGCAAGAGGATCTTAGAAGAATCAGTGGGATAGGTGAAAATAGTCAGAGTATAATGAAGTCAGGGTAGCATCTGACATTGTACCTCTCCTTTTGAGCCTCACTTTTCTTATTAATAACATAAAGAATGTCAAATAGGAATATGTTTCAAATTTATGTCACTGTGAAGCAGAAGATTCAGTTAGTTGATAGGCTTTCCTAAAAGATGCAGTTAGTACAGTGGTGTTAATAGTAATTATTAATAGCAATTATTCCTTAATGCTAGCAATAGCCCAGGCTCTTTTTTTTTTTTTTTTTTTTGCCGGTCATGGGGCTTGAACTCTGGGCTTGGGTGCTGTCCCTCAGCTCTTCAGCTCAAAGCTAGCACTCTACCACTTAAGCTACAGCACCACTTCTGGCATTTGCTGCGTATATGCTGCTAAGGAATCAAACACAGGGCTCACTGAGCCACCTTCCCAGTCCATGCCCAGGCTCTTTAACTCACACACACGCACGCATGCGCGCGCGCACGCACACACACACACACACACACACACACACACACACACACCTCAAGAAAACAAAGGATCCTATAGGCAGACAGGATCACAGTAGCCATATACAAGAACACATACTCACACTGAAGCCCAGGGAGGTCCAGCACCCTATGAATCCAGAAATCACAGAAGACCCCAGAAAGAGCTGTTACTGCAGCCTGGTCTTTCTAGAGGATCTGAATCTATGCTTCTGAGATCACAAGGTATGGTACCTCATGGCCATAATCCTGCCTTGGCTTTGATGTAATCTGAGAAGGAGATTGTGGTCCTGGAGGCGTTGGGGTAAGGTCTGAGATTCTGCTTTAGTCAAGCTCTCGGGTAATACTTGATTTTATACTCCTGGGTCAAACTTGGAACAGCAGTAATCTAAGAGACTTAATTTTAGTTGAGAAGTAAGCAGGTTGGAGTTTGGCAAAAGCAAATTGTGTTTATAAAAGCAAATTGCCTTGGGGAAGAGGTTCTTGATGGCTTGGGAACTGGAAGAGGTATTCCTTAGGATCAAGGGGTTGAGGCTCAGTAGTAGTACTGGGAAGGACACTGCCACTGGCAAAGCAGATGCTCACTGTCAGCATCCTAGCCAGGTATAGGCCACAGCAGGATCTGATGAGCCCGTCCTCTCCCTTCTTCCTCAGAGCGGTCCCCTCACCGGCCCATCCTGCAAGCTGGGTTGCCTGCCAACAAGACAGTGGCTCTGGGCAGCAATGTGGAGTTCATGTGTAAAGTATACAGTGACCCACAGCCCCATATCCAGTGGCTAAAGCACATCGAGGTGAATGGGAGTAAGATTGGTCCGGACAACTTGCCTTATGTCCAGATCTTGAAGGTAAATTTGGTCCCAGTTTTCACGGGCCAGTGTTTGGGGTGGGTGATCAATGTCTCCTGGTGGTTCAAGTTCCCTTAGTGACCAGGGTTAGGGCTCAGCCCATAACTTTCTAGCACATGCTCTGTCCTAGTAGGGTATTTAACCACAAATTAGGAGGTGATTGGAAATGGAGGGCTAGAGTATGGACAACACTAGTGCTGATTTCTACAGAGCATTGAGAGGGTCTCCGCTAGGGCTTTTGGATCAGCTGCTCAAGGCAGACATTTGTACCCCTGCTTATTCTTTGTTCAAGATGAGAACCTTTCCAGTGGACATTTCTCAGTCTTGGCCTGCTTGCTTCCCATTATGATCCTTTGGCAAACAGGATGAATGAATGATAAGGGCATCGCTGGAGTAGTTGGGAAAGCAAATGCCACATAAATTCTAAGCAGTATGAGGAGTAATGGCATTTTCTTCCTTTTTCCTCTCACTCCCAGACTGTCATTGTCCCTGAATGCTCCATTAATCCAGGGAAGGTAATTGGCTAAGTCTCCAGTGGATCTTGCAACAGGAAGTAACCAGAAGCTGGGAAAGTGGTTGACCTCCTTATCCCAGAGTTAGACCTCCCCTCCCCTGGCTTGGCTGTCCCAAAGATTTACTGGCAGTCCCTTCTTTTTGCCATTGATGCTGTAACTGCCTTGGAGGGAAGGGGCCCCTGTATCCATTCACAGTCCCTGCCCAGACCTGGGGAGAGGGGGGTTCAGCACAAACAGGACATTTACTTTGGGGCTGTAATTTATTTCCTTCTTTTTAATTTTCTTCATTAAAAAGACTTAGTTCATTTAAATGTTTTAAAGCCAACTTGTTTTGTCCTACTCAAAGGGGAAGATACAAGTCTCAAACGCCTCCCCTGCCTTGGCTTTCTGGGCCTGCCTGAAAGTTACCTGGAAGCACAATGTGGCCATATCTCAGTATTTGCCCAACTGACTGGTGTGTCGTTGGTTTGTTCCAGCATTCGGGGATTAATAGCTCGGATGCGGAGGTGCTGACCCTGTTCAATGTGACAGAGGCCCAGAGCGGGGAGTATGTGTGTAAGGTTTCCAATTATATTGGTGAAGCTAACCAGTCTGCGTGGCTCACTGTCACCAGACCTGTGGCAAAAGGTAATGGGGAGATGGATGGATGGGAACTTGGTTTAGGCCCCACACTGCTGGGGCATGTGGGGAAGCCAGCGCCGACTCTCCCTGTCATTCTACTATGTTCCTAGTGCCCAGAGCCATGGAAAAATACCCGGCCTGGGAGGCTGGTTTGGTTTGGTACTGTGTTGGTGTCTACTGGCTCCCTCCGTGCCTTGTGTGTGTTCCTTGGCTGTATGTGAGCGCATGTGCACATGTTTGTGGACTTGTGGAACCCAGGCTTCTCTGTTAGGAGTGACAACTTTAGGCTGAAGGTTTGAATGGTAAGAGAAGAGGCCAGGCAAACTGTCGCCCTCAGGGTGCGTATGTGTGTGTGAGAAAGAGGGAGAGAGGCTGCCCCACCTTCCCTCCTGTGTGAACCCTAACTCTACCCAAAACCAAACAGCCCCCCACCTGTCGGGCTGCATTTCTCCATGCTGCCCACCGCCCGCATGCTTGGCTGGGCCAGTGGCTGCCAGAGTCTGGTGAAGGGTCGTAACCAGCCATCGTCGTCTCAGGTCTGCCGGAGCTCTTCCTCAGGGTCTCACTCTTTTCTTCTAACAGGTTTCGCTGCCTGGTGGTTTTTGTTTGTTCCTTGTTGCAAAGGAGACGCTGGGGAGCATTTCTGCCTTTGGTTTCGTGTCCCTTCACCTGTCTTCCTCCGTTTCTCGGTGTCTCTTGGAGGTCTTATGTCCTGTGCTTGTCCATTTTGCTTCCGTTGTCTCTTCTAGACTGCCGGAGTTAATACCACCGACAAAGAGATGGAGGTGCTTCACTTGCGAAATGTCTCCTTTGAGGACGCGGGGGAGTATACATGCTTGGCGGGTAACTCTATCGGACTCTCCCATCACTCTGCATGGTTGACCGTTTTGGAAGGTATACACTGCACTTCTCTCTCCACATCCTGTCTTTGCCATGGCACAGAGGGCATGCATTGCAAGGCTCAGGGAGACTAAGAGCTGGAAGAGGCAGCTGAAGGGCTGGCTCCTGCCTGCCATATGCCCTTTTCTGCTCCCGCTTTGAAGATTTCAGCCTTTCAGCTAGTTTTGCAGGAACACAGAGACCTTTCACCTGTACCTCATATCCATCTTTCCCTTTAGCCAGGGCAATGCATGCATGGGGACTGGGTTTTACCTGGACTCTTCTCCAAGGTAGGCTCCTTCCTTCCTGGCCCAGCAGCTTTCCTTGTCTACTTGGTACTGAGAGTCTGAATTACCTTACCCTCTCAGAAGGGGCCATGTTCCTCATCTTCCTGAGCAAGGCACCTGTCCAAATGGGTTTGCTGCTTGTACAAACCCATACTGGCCTGCCCTCCCACCTACAGTGGAACTTGACTGCTTGGAACAACGTTTGTCTCAAGCAGCTGCAGCCCATTTGTCTTTGACTACAGCCATTCCTCTTGTCCCAAGAAGGAAGGTCTGTATGTTGAGCCAAGAAGAAAGGAGCCTACAGCCTATGCTGGGTGGTGGCTGGTAACTGCAGGGCTAGCATGGTTGTCGCTGCATCTCTGAGTGTCCTGCCAGTGGTCTGGGTGCTCCTGTGTTCCATGGCTTCTTTCTCTTCTCTCCCTCTTTTCTCTTCACTACTGCCCAACAAGGTCTTGTGCCCTGTTGGTGGAAAAGAAGCGTTCTGTTTTTATCATTGTCCTGTCTCTGTTCTGTCTGTGCTCCCAGTGAGTCCGTCTTGCCTTTCTCAATATTGGGAAAGGAAAAAAAAAACAGAACACTTCTCACCACAATTGGCTCTGTCTTGTTAAGCCTCAGGCTCATTCTGGGATCCGGCCTGAAGTCCCTCTGGGAGTGCTCCCAGGGTGTGGCCTTCCCAGTGCTGGCTGGTGTGTTTTAAACGGGAGGACTGAAAAGGAAGGGCTGTCCAAGTGGTGGGGCATGGAGGGTCCATGAATGAAATCTGTGTGCCATGTGTCTCCTGTTGAAGGAAATGGAGGAATAACTGGCATAGCTTCTGTGGGAATAGGTGTTGAGTTCTCAAGAGGAGCTGAAAGAAGAAAATCAAATAATGCCCTCAATTCTCCTTAAGTCTCCTGATGAGCCCTAGAGATTTTGCCAGTAGAGTTCTTAAGGACTACAAAAGCAATAATGACAAAATGTCTGTTTTTTTCATCCAGTAAAACATTTGGAAATTGAGTTTGGCTAGGTGTAAATATTTACCTACTTGACATGACAGAGATGTTATAGATGCTTAGTCTGGATAAAGGCTGGTTCCCATCCTCCATTTGCTCTCATTGTGAGTACCACTGTGTGCCAGGAGCTACCACATATAGAAATGAGATCCTCCTGGCTCCTTGGGGCAAGCACTTGAGAAACACTCTGCCCCCATATGATAAATGTACACATGGTATTGAGACTGCAGAAAAAGGATCTGTGTTCACAGTCTAGCTGAGCAGGGAACTCCAGAAAGAATGAGTGTGGGATGTGTAGCAAGGTCATCCAGTTCAATCCTCTCCAAATTTCAAGGCAGTTTATGAAAGCCTCAGAGGTTATTAGACATATACCTCAATCTCATCCTTCCCTAGGATCTGGTTTGAGTTTCCCTCTCTAAATATACCAGGGGAGGAGAAATTGGTATTGAGCTTTATGGAGTAGGGCCCCTCATGGACATGGTTTCTGGAGCCTACTAATACTCTGTTCACACTGACTCAGCCCTGGAAGAGAGACCAGCTGTGATGACCTCACCCCTCTACCTGGAGATCATCATCTACTGCACAGGGGCCTTCCTCATCTCCTGCATGGTGGGCTCTGTCATCATCTACAAGATGAAGAGTGGCACCAAGAAGAGCGACTTCCATAGCCAGATGGCCGTGCACAAGCTGGCCAAGAGCATTCCTCTGCGCAGACAGGTAACAGAAAGTAGATGGGGGATTTGCACGCTCACTGACATCTTTCACTGGGCCTTCAGGGCCCTCTTCAGAGTACTCTCACATGCTCCCTTCTCCACTGTCCTTAATATAGCACTTAAGGTGATTGCTGTCTGGCTTCTAGGCCAGACGCAATGGCCTAAATTAGGTGCTCCACAGTTAGCTCCATGCTAATCTACCCCATGAATCTTTATTCTCTCTATCCCAGGTGCCAGGGCATCATTCTTTTACCTGATATGGATTGGGAAAAAGTCCCATAAGGCCCTAATGTGCAGTGGTACTGTACACTCGCACCATCCCTGAGATCAGCTATAGATGCATTGATGCAAGGTAGAGATGTGGACCCAAGTTAGTACCCAGATTTCCTCTCCCTCAGGAAAGAAATGTCCAGAAGGTTCTGAGGTGTGAAAGAGGGACAGTTCACTGTATTGACACTGGAATGTGTGTCAAGTTAGGAATCCATAATCTGAGGGAGGGTCTTCACAAAGGCTGGGATTAACAAGAAAGTTGTTATTGTGATAACAAGTTATAAAACATCAAGCTGGAAGAGAGATATTTGGTGTGCTCATTTAAAAGGTGAGTAAAATGAAACAGAAGGCTAGTTGATGGTAGAAATTTATCATCAGCCCTAGAACTTGGGTCTTCTCATCTCATGTGATTTTCCTACCACACCAGCTGGGGAATGGCCGTCACATACTTTTGTCTTCTTGCTAGAAGGGTGACCCCACTTTTCCCTATAGGTGTCGGCTGACTCCAGTGCATCCATGAACTCTGGGGTTCTCTTGGTTCGGCCCTCACGTCTCTCCTCTAGTGGGACTCCTATGCTAGCTGGGGTCTCTGAATATGAGCTTCCTGAAGACCCCCGTTGGGAGCTACCCAGAGACAGGTATTGTAATCTCCAACTTTGTGATGATACCCTCACTTATTCTAGTGGTAGTTGTGCTTACCTAGATATGTAGGAGGTAAAGTGCATGAGGAGCTTGTAGAAATAATCCTGTTATTTTTGGCTTTTAGTTAGGTGAAACATGGCAAGGGAAGATGGGATGTCCTGTAAAGATTGACCTTTCTGGCTCCAGTTTTCACTGTTTTCTGTTTTCCTCAAAAGATTGGTCTTAGGCAAGCCCCTAGGAGAGGGCTGCTTTGGACAGGTGGTGTTGGCAGAGGCCATTGGGCTAGACAAGGACAAGCCCAACCGTGTGACCAAAGTAGCTGTGAAGATGTTGAAGTGTAAGTGACATTTCTACCCTTGTAAACTGTAGCTCTTATTTTTTTTTGGTCTTGGGGCTTGAAGTCAGGGCCTGGGCACTGTCCCTGAGTTTTTGCTCAAAACTACTCTACTACTTGAGCTACAGCAACACTTCTGGCCTTTTCTATTTATGTGGTATTGAGGAATCAAACCCAGGGCTTCATGCATGTAGGCAAGCACTGTACCACTACGCCACAGTCCTAGCCTCAAGCTCTTCACATTCTAACCAAACTCTGGACCTCACTCAGTGAATGGACTACCTTCTCTGGTGCTTACCTTGCTCATACCTGCTAACCTGATGGGGTTAACTAGGAGTGGACTTCAGGATTACTGTAATATTAGCCTTGTTCCTTGGCATCCATCTGGGCCTAACCTTTGTACTCTTTTTGAGATTCCATATCTAGCTGAATTTTCTCCCTGGCCACATATCTCATTACCACATATTGCAGCAGTAGCTCCTGTAAGAGGGAAAAGGAGATCAATTTGGATGGGAAGTGGGGTTGAGAGAAACAGAGGGATTCCTTGAACATACATCCTCCCCCGAGTTCTCCCTTTCTTCCTCTCTCTTTCTTTTCCTTCCCTTCCCTCCTTTTTTCTCTTCTTCCCTCCTTTCCAAATCTCACTCTGTTCTCTGGTTTGTGTGAAGCGGATGCAACAGAGAAGGACCTGTCAGACCTGATCTCAGAGATGGAGATGATGAAGATGATTGGGAAACATAAGAATATCATCAACCTGCTGGGAGCCTGCACACAGGATGGTAGGTGCTGAGCCAAGCTAGCTCCCATGACCTGGACAGGTTTAGGCAAGGACTCTCAGCCCCTCTTGGAGATTGAGAAGTCAGTATGGTAGAGATTGGAAGGGATTTTCCAGAGTCTGACTGGAGCTCAGTGGTATTCATCTGCGAACATAAGCAACTTTGGTCTACATTAGTGCCCTTACCTTCAACTTACTTGGGAACTTTTTGAACTATGTGGGAAGGAAAGTATCTCTGTGACTTTCTCTTTAGGAAGCAGAGTGACTATCTTTGCTTTTCTTAAAAGGAGGCAAGAAAGGGAAGCGATAGTCTGGAAACGGTACACATGTGTGGTGTCTTTGACTGGCTGCCCAACTTACGGCTTCTCTATTCTTGTGCCCCAGGTCCTCTGTATGTCATTGTGGAATATGCCTCCAAAGGCAATCTCCGAGAGTACCTGCAGGCACGAAGGCCTCCAGGACTGGAATACTGCTATAACCCCAGCCACAACCCAGAAGAGCAGCTCTCTTCCAAGGATCTGGTATCCTGTGCCTATCAGGTGGCCCGAGGCATGGAGTATCTTGCCTCTAAGAAGGTGTGCTACCTGAATACTTGGTGGTGTGGGAGGAGCTGTCTAGTACTCCAGCTGAACACTGACCCCAGCTGCTTCCCTAGTCTCCCAAAGAAACAGGAGAGTCAGTGTGGCCTAATGACCCTGGGATCAGACTGAGATTCATGTCTGTGCTCTACCACTTTTCATAGCCTTGGGCAGCTGCTTAACATCTTATATTTCCTTTTGGGGGGGGGGCACAGTACCAGAGTTTGAACTCAGAAACTTGGACTTACCAGGCAGGAGCTCTGCCACTTGAGCCATGCCTGTAGCCCCTTTTGCTTTCATTATTTTTCTGATAGGGTCTTTCTTTTTTACCTAGGCTGGCCTGGATCTCAGTCCTACTGTTTATTTATGCTTCTCACATAACCAGGATAACAAGTGCAAGCAACCACACTCAGCTTTTTATTCATTGAGATGGGATCTCTTAAATGTTTTGCTCAGACTGGCTTTGAATCATGATCCTTGGTCTTATCCTCTTGAGTAGCTAAAATCACATGTGTGAGACACCATGCTCAGCTTTATATTTCTTCAAATGCAAATGATAATAGTCTTTTTTTTTTTGGTCAGTCATGGGGCCTGAACTCTGGGCCTGGCCACAGTCCCTGAGCTCTTCAACTCAAGATTAGCATTCTACCACTTGAACCACAGCGCCACTTCTGTCTTTTTCTGCTTATGTGGTGCTGAGGAATCAAACCCAGAGTCTCATACATGCAAGGCAAGCACTCTACCACTGAGCCAACTTCCCAGCCTGATAATAGTCCTTACGTTGTAGAGTCATTATGAGGATAAGATATGTTAGGCACCGCTCTGGGTGCTTCATACATGGTATCTTTGTTGTAACCCAAACCTGGTGCAGATGTTCCATGCTTGGGAAGGTTGCTTTGGAGCATGTGCCCAATTAAAAATGAACAGAAAGTCTGAAGGTTTTCAGGGTGTAAAAATCCAAACACTGAGAGTTTAGGAGGCCTGGAATAAGGGTTTGCTAAGGTGATGGAGAAGCCTGAAGCTGAAGGTGTTTGAAACAGAGGAAAAGAACATTGTAGCCCAGGGGAATGGGGTGGGGGAAGGGAGGATGTCCAGAGGCTATGGTGTAGGAAAGAGAAAGGGGTCTTCTCTGGAGTGCAGAATGGTGTAAGAGGACTCAGACAGCTGGGTAGTGAGGTATGGTTCAGGGTCGTTGTTCCTCACCTGCTTCCCACCCCACGCTCTGCAGTGCATCCACAGAGACCTAGCTGCCAGGAATGTGCTGGTAACAGAAGACAATGTGATGAAGATTGCAGACTTTGGCCTTGCTCGGGACATTCACCATATTGACTACTATAAAAAGACAACTAATGTAAGTGTCTCCCTGAGCACTGCTCCAACTAGCATTTGCCCATATAGATGGCTATGCTGTAGCCTGGCTGGGTTGTTTTGGAGAAGCAGGTGGTTAAGATGGGCTGAAAATGTGCATACCACATCCTACACTGGATCTCCCATCCTCACTGTCCCCTGCTCCCAGGGCCGGCTGCCTGTGAAGTGGATGGCACCTGAGGCCTTGTTTGACCGGATCTACACCCACCAGAGCGATGTGTAAGTTTAAAATAAGCAATTTTCAGGAATACATCTAAGAGTATCCAGTACAGAAGAGTCCTGCATTCCCTCTGGGTTGATGAATCTCCTTCCTAATTAGGGAGAGGGAAAGTACCACTGTTTTAGCATTAGAAGCCCATCTTCTCAGTCCTGTCCTCTGTGCTCTCCTTGGAGTTAAAGGCTTATTTGGCGAACCACTAAGAGGTTCAGGATGGATGGACATCTGCCATGCGGGCTTCTGAAGGGATCACTGGAAAGACTACAGTGGCTCTCTGTGCCTACAGGTGGTCTTTTGGGGTGCTTTTGTGGGAAATCTTCACTCTGGGCGGCTCCCCATACCCTGGTGTGCCTGTGGAGGAACTTTTCAAGCTGCTGAAGGAGGGTCATCGAATGGACAAGCCTAGTAACTGCACCAACGAGCTGTAAGCCTGAGCCAGGCCCTTGGGAAGAATGGGCAGAGGGAAGTTTGGGCAGAGGGAAGGGAGTATGAGTCTACAAGAGTGGCTCTTCCTTGTCACCCTCCCCCAAGCTCTACAGCCCATCACTCTGCTTTTGCCCTTCTTCTATGACCTCATGATCCCACCACAGGTACATGATGATGCGGGACTGCTGGCATGCAGTACCCTCTCAGAGGCCTACCTTCAAGCAACTGGTGGAAGACCTGGACCGTATTGTGGCCTTGACTTCCAACCAGGTAGGGCTGCCCTGAACTAGACCTTAAACCATTATCATGAGGACACATCAGCTGAATACTGCCTCCTACCCATCATTCTCTCCTCTCCTATTTCAGGAGTATTTGGACCTGTCCATGCCTCTAGACCAGTACTCTCCCAGTTTTCCCGATACTCGAAGCTCTACCTGCTCCTCTGGGGAGGACTCTGTCTTCTCTCATGAGCCACTGCCTGAGGAGCCCTGTCTGCCTCGACACCCAACCCCACATGCCAATGGTGGACTCAAACGACGCTGACAACCACCCTCTCTGACACTCCCTACCAAAGCTCCATCATCAGCTGTGTCCCTCACCCACAGCTCCCTGCTGAACTCGACTGCCTTCCCTCTTCCCTTTTCCTGCTGGCATGAGCCAGCTGCCTGTGTGAGGCCTTCTTGTGTGGCCTGTCTTCCCCTACCAAGCTCCCCCTTTCTCCTCTTCCTCAGTCTGCTTGTGAGAGGAGAGCAGAGGCAGGTACTTGCTGGTAGCCACTTCATTCCCTCCCAAGTTTGGACCAATACTCTTCCTTGCCACCTGGCACTGCCTAGAGGGCTGGCCAGGAGTAGAATGAGCAGGCAAGCAGGGAGAGCTTCCTGAGAGTTCTTGTGTTGTCAGCCCCTTGCATTATGGTGGCAGGTGCCTTGTCCTCGGGCTACAACAGCAGGGAGGTCACTGCTTCAGGCCTCAGTTGAAGACCCTCTGTTCCAGATGGATGGTGCCAGTGGCTTATTAATTGTAGTACTAATTTGCTTTGCTGACCAAAATGCCTGGTACCAGAGAATGGCAAGGGTAAAGACTGGAGCAGTGATGTGGTCCTGGACTGGGGGATTTGTACATAGCTATGAAAAAAACACTAAGTGTATAAATCTGAGTATATATTTACATGTCTTTTTAAAAGGGTCATTACCAGAGATTTACCTTTGGGTAAGATGCTCCTGGTAGCAGGGAGGCATCAGTTGCTATATATTAAAAACAAAGAAAAAAAAAAAGGAAAATGTTTTTAAAAAGGTCATATATTTTTTGCTACTTTTGCTGTTTTATTTTTTTAAATTATGTTCTAAACCTATTTTCAGTTTAGGTCCCTCAATAAAAATTGCTGCTGCTTCATTTTTATATTGGCTGTGTGAAAAGGGAGCAGATGTCCATCGGAAAGGAGGGATGCCAAGGGGCTATATGCCATCTACACAGAAGGCACTGCATACTCGCCACTTTGCCTTGTGGTCTCTTCTTCAGGCCTTTGGTACAAACCCCCTACCTCTCCAATGCCATTGGAAAGGCAGGAAAAGAAGACATCAGCATTGTGGGCAGGAGCCCCAGAGGAGCTGGGCCAAGAGCCAAGGCCACAGCAGCCTGTGACCACAAATTGTTTCCTCAGAGGAAACTAAGGTGGGGGGGGCGCTGGAATAGCCAAGTCATAGAGCTAACGAGAGAAAAACAAGGATTATCTAGTGGGTCTGCAAGTACCCCCCTTTGTGTGGGCATGATCTGGCCTGTGCTTGTGTAAGGAAAACTGGTCAACTACGGCAGTGTACGTTCAGGTCCCTTGTTTGTCTTTCCTGTCTTCCTGTGACCAGACTGCATTTGTTAGTCTGTTGCAGATCTTGGCTTCCTGTGCAAACTCCACCCATCAGTGCCTCAGGAAAGGGAAGAAAAGTCTGAACGGTTTTTTGTGTTTGTTTTTTTTGGGGGGGTTCAGGCTGTTTTGAAACTTGCTTCTGCCACCTGCTGGTTGTTCCTGTCCTGGCCAAGTGGATTCTGGCTCTTGGGTACTTCATTGTTTAGCAGCCTCTATCCTTAAAGCTTACTTTGGGTGGGTCAACCACTGAATATAAAAGCATATTGAATCTTATGCTTTCATTCTGTAAGGAAAATGAAATTGCTGCTTTAAGTTTCCTTTCTCAGCTGGGTAATTTTTGGAAGCTGCAGTGTTGGTTACCATTGTAAAATTCTCTTCTCTCTGTAATCATGCAACTGTTGACATATACTACAAATGTATTTGTTTTAATAAGGTATGATTTGATGAACAGAATCAGGAAGTGAGTTTCAGCTCTTAAAATAATTTGCTTTCAGACAAAATGGTAGCATCTTTTCTTTGTAAACTAAGCAATTGCTGCCTAGACCTCACCTTGACATGGTGTTATGTCAGTGAATGAGAATTTATATAAAGGGCTCTGCCTCCTGGAGAGGTGCTAGAAAAGTAAAAGGCACTAACAGTGATGTCCCTGCTGTTACTACTCAAATCACCCACAAGTTTCTCTGGAGACTAAGTTGGCTGACAAAAGACAGTGAAGTTAACCTGAGAAAATAAAATGGCTATTTTACTTTGATGACTATATGGGGGTCTCTTGGGAAAAGGAATTCAGTTTATCTAATGAAGACATTGTGCTGTCAAAATGCTGAATCTGTCTGGTTTCCTAAGGGTTAAAAGATTAAGGCCTGAGATCACCACAGAATTCATCAATCAATACTGCCCTTGCATCTTTCCTAATTGCCATAGGCTGGAGATCATCAGTCCCTTGGCTCTGCTAATGTAATATATTGATTTCAGGTAAGTAAGATTGAACACAGATGAAGCAAGAAATCTATCTTAATGGTAATGAAGTCACTGTTTGTCAGCTACCACTGGATGGAGCCAGCAAGCTAAAAATCTCTGGTAGCACTAAGTAATGTGCCAGTCAGCTCTGAAGTAAAAATTTTGACCTTCCCTGTATGTCCTGGTAGTGAATAGGATTCTTTGGCTTGAAGTTAGCCATGTAAGGCATTGATTGAACATCACTGATCAGAATTCTATTATAATTCAAGTACACAATTAGACATGGCACAAGGTCAGGGCCATAAATATTTTAAGTGCCACCAACAGCTATTTTAACAGAATTCTGTGAGATGCAGGCCACATTTAACATTGCTGCAGGTGGATGTTAGAGAGGGCCTAAAATATTCCCAGTGAGATTAGCAGCAGCAAGCAGAGCCAGGCATCTGCATCAACAGGTAAGAGTAGAGAGCAATAAGAGGAAGTTTTGCAACAACCTAGCATGACTTTCCATTCCCTCAGCTGATGGGAGCTAGAAAAGCTAAGATCAGGAATGCAGATATTAAGAAGGACTTTGACTGGAGCAAGTCCTCTCAGCCAACAATAGCATTCAGAATCCTACATATCATACTGCCTCCTGGATACATGTCCAAGCACATTAGAATTGTTGGACTTAGTGACATGCTAGTTAGAGATTCACTTATCGTTTTATTAAAGACAGGGTCTCATGTATCCCAGGCTGGCCTTGAAGTTCTGGTCCTTCTGCTTCCATGTCCCAAGTATTTGGGGTTAGACATGTGCTACCACACCTGATTTCAATCTTTTGTCACTCCAGGATGGCTAAGACAGTGGTGTGCCAAAGCTGGTTCTCAGAAACACACTATACATCACTTACCAGTTCTGCATTTAGTGGACTCATGTTCGTAGCCTGAAGTCATCTGGGGGTAAAGGAAGAATACATACATCACTAGAATCTGAAAAGATGCTACAAATCTAGGCTCTTTTCAGAGCGATGCTCACTGTTTACCAGAGCACCATCAGCCAGCATTTGGTATAGGGACAGATCTAACAGTAATGGAACAACAAAGCAATGAGAACAAAGAAACATCCATGACTTTTCTAGGGTAAGCTATTATCATTTGGATGGGTGGGGGGGTATCAAGTGTCCTGTGTGCTTTAGTGAAAAGAGATGAAGGCAGACCATGGTCAGAAGTGACTAAGGCCTTGACCTAACCATTCCTGTTTGGCTAACAAAGCTACGAAGAATTGTCACATAGCCCAGCAGCACAAATGACTCATCCAACTGAAACTGGATGAAACAGGTTAACTAGTTGTCTTTCCCATATTTGACACCTGAGATGTGCACTAAGATAGACACCCATTGCTTTAAAAATGGGAATTTTATTGTGAATCATCTAGCTAGATCCGTAGAATGTTGTATTTGCGTAGTAGGGATTCATTATCTGTTTGGAAGCGCAGTTAATAGGACAAGGTGAAGCTCACTGATAGAGAAGCTAAAGCTTTTTTTTCTTTTGGCAATACTGGAGCCTGAAACTTGGCTTTGTGCTTGCTAGGCAAGTGTTTACCACTTGAGTTATGCCTCGAGACCTTTAAAAAAAAAAAAAAAGACTAAATAAGTCTTGTTACGTAGTCCAGATTGGCCTTAAAATTCACTCTTGCCCTGTTCCTTGAAAACTGGGATTATAAGTAGGCATCTTGAAGCATTTCAAGGTGCATTTTCCTTGCTGTAAAGTGCTGGGCATTTCTCATGCAAGTGATCAGATAGGATAGATTTTTATTCGATATAAATCCCATCTAACTGCTTTCAATTTCACAGCAAGTTTAATAAATTTAATTTCATTGTGGACAGGCTGACATACCTTCTCCCCTACCCCAGGGAAAAAAAGCTTTTGGGTCAGCAGTATGGCAGTCTTGTCAAGTTGTTTCCAGTATTAATACTGGAATATATTTCCAGTATTACATGATCCAGTATTATATAGTCCAGTGGTAATACTAGGATATACACAATACTTGTTACTGGATAGCACAGGGATTATGTATGACTGATTCCCTATGACTAACAGTCTCACTTGTGAAAGACAAACTGACCAAACACACCCAGAACAAATGTGTAAGCCTTACACCCTTAATTTTGTTTCCTAGCACAATGGTAACTAATGAAAGCCATATGTGCTACAATAATGGCCACCTTCCAGACTCCTGTAGCCTCTGTGGGCATAGGAGGTGGATGGATGTCTGACCAGCTAAGCAGCAGCCAAATCATTTTGATTGCCATGTTTAACTTCCCAATTTTTCTGGTTAGGCCTTTCTGAGAAATATATCCATCTTGTCTCAGGGTGCTTTGTTTCCAGGGCACTGTTCCTACTGGTGACCGGTCTGAAAAAGTTGGTCAGGTGTTCTGAAAATGAATTTTGGAGTCCCAAGTTTTGATTAGGGATTTTAAGCCATGATAAGCAAAAGTATCCAAGATGCCAAGCTGCTTCCATAATGTAGCAACAACAAAAAAACCTTCTGAAAAGATACACACAAACAGGAAGCTGTTCAAAAACATGGTGGGGATAGGCTTTACATAAAGTTTAGTGTGATGACACAATAGTACAGAGGAATTGGGCTTTGAATTATGTTTCTCTAAATGGTCTGAGCGTGGTGTCACTGCTGATCCCTGGAATGGTCACAAGCCCACCAAGGAGTAAATGGCTGATCCTCAAACCAGACACCGAGTCTTAGCTGAAGTCCTTCATGGATGTGGTGCTACTGCTGCGCTGGTCCTTAGGCTCCTTTGGAATTAGCCTTGCTGGTCTGAGAGATCTTAGATTTGGCCTGCAGGGTCTAGGTATAAAACATAGGACCATGGGTCACAACTGGATATGTTAAGTTCTTTGAGACTCCCTGTTTGGTTTTGGTGAAAAAAGAACTGACCACAAAGTTATGTCTGTGTATAACCTACATTGGTACTAAAAATGAGGAAGACATGCAAGCAGAGCCCCTGTGCCTTTGGGTCATTTTCTAGATGCTTAGCCCATCTTTGTTCACATAGCAACTTGGAATGTTCAAAGCCACACCACAGTTCAATTCTGTGAATTCTCTACTGTTTACTTGTATCATGCTGTCTGTCTCCAAATTCCTTCACCCAACTCAGAAAAATAGACACTTAATTTATATATATATATATACACACACACACATATATATATATATATATATATATATATTTCTGCTAACATTTAAATTGCTTCCTAGTAGTATTTCCTGACACCAGAGGCCTTTGTAAGAAAAAAAATAAAACATTCCATCTGGTGCATAGAAAATAAGGACTTTTGTATACTGTAATTTAGTTTTTAGACTTAACATGTCTGGTTTACCATTAAATTATTTGGTAAATTTGTTTTCTTTTTTTGCTTTTGGATAATGATAAAATACAGTGGTTATGAGATGACTAGAGTTCAACCTACAAGTTCTGGTTTGGATGACAGGACCTGTGCAGCATTTTTCAATAGAATTCTAGTCTCCCTAATTAACTAGAGGGAAGGGAGTTTTTCTGAATACTTACAGCTTCTTGAGACGAAGTGATAGATCCTTGGGGTAAAGAAGTAGGTGCTGATGGTTTTATGGGTGTTGATGATACTGGGGGTAGTTGTATAAATTCTTCACCCTTAAACATCACAACTGAGGGTTGGATTACTGATTAAAACAAAATGTCTACTAGGTCTACTATCATGACTCAAGGAATTTATAACAATTGATTCATTCACCAGTGCAGGATTCAAAAGGCAAAATCTGAAATATAACATCAAGTAATGGAGCTACATACCCAGCCCAAAATACTTAACTTAGAAACATGCTGTATAATAAATAAGCCTTAAGAATGCTAGGGGCTTAAAAGAGAAAAATTAGTTAATTCACATAAGTCCTCTAACCTTAGTTCCTTTCAGCTGAGGTGCACGATCTACCATATTCTCTTTAGATTCAGGGGAGGTAGGTGATTTCATAGAAATGTTTGTCTTTGGAGCCTAGGGAAAAGAATATTTTACATAGTGTAAGATCTCTGCTGCTCTTTCAAAAATTTGGAGGGTCTTTTACAGTTACTCTGTTTCTAATAGCATTGGTGTAACTTAGTTAAAATTGACACCAATCATTTTTTCTATCACAAATGGTAAATTTGCCTGACAAAAATGGTAGATAATATTTAAATAATATTCATTTAAAATGTTTGAAAGAAGCCAAGCATCAATGGCTCATGCCTATAATCCTCGTTACGCAATAGGCTGAGATCGGAGGACTGCATTCAAAGCCAGCCCTAGCAGGAAAGTCTGTGAGACTTATTTTCAGCAAACTACCAAAAAAAGCTGGAAGTGGAGCCGTGGCTCATGTGGTAAGAGTGCTAGCCTTAACTTAAAAAGAAACTTAGGACCTCAAAGGGAGGGTATGAGAGAGAAAGAGGGAAGAACTAACACTAAGCAAAAGGAAAGAAATGTATGTATCACCTGATTTGGAACAAATAGTTTTTTTTGGGGGGGGGGTCTGGTCGTGGGGCCTGAACTCTAGGCCTGGGCGCTGTCCCTCAGCTCTTCAGCTCAAGGCTAGGGTTCTACCACTTGAGCCACAGTGCCACTTCCGGCTTTTTTCTTTTTTGCTTATGTGGTGCTGAGGAATCGAATCCAGGGCCTCATGCATGCAAGGCAAGCGCTCTACCACTGAGCCACCTTCCCAGCCCCGGAATAAATAGTTTTATTGTTAAAGTTCGTAGAGTTCATAAACTGTAGATTAAGGTGATGA